AAAAAAAAAAAAAAAAAAAAAAAAACGAACAATAAAAACCTTAAAATAGCTGGCAAAATCGGAGGAAATCTTTATCCACATAGCACTTGTTTTCTTATGGATTCCAGGAGGGTGTTTGTTCTTGAATGGAGTCGAGACGAACCGAATTAGCACTTCTCAGATCCGGGTGCGGGCGCGGGTAGGAAGAACTGGATCCATTTGAATAGCCGCCGAACGTGCTTGCTGTTATGTAATCCGAAGATCATCCGAGACCACCTTCTTTAGAATAGCTGGAATCTTTATCTGAACTTCCTTTATTGTGAGTTCTAGAATCAAGGAGTTAGCTGATTTTGATAAAATTACGTTTCTGTCCTATTTTAAGGATGTCTGAAATTTTTCATTTTTTTTCTGGCAGGAAATATCCAACCACTTTATATACTTATTTTTTTGAAAAAATATGTATTCATTTAAAAATTTCAATTTTTAAGTAATTTCTATTCAACCAATATAAACTCTTCTTAATAAACACAATAATATTTCATAAAAAAAAAAATTAAATTCAATAAAGCACGTTATATTATATACAATGAGTAAGGTGGGATGGGAATTCGGTCGATTTTTAGGCAGAGGAATATAATCTCTGTCCCGGATCCTATTTAACTAACGAGAAGAAATTTCTCCTCACTCTTTACCTCATTTACTGTTTTCTCCCTTTCGAGCTTAAATTATAGTGTTCGATAACCCTATATAAAACTGTAATGCTTCAAGAGAGAAATGAAATCGTATGTCGATATATGGTATTCATTGAGTTATGTTTAAATCGATGATAGAATACAACATTTTTATATTCTCGTAACACGAGGGTCGTAAACAAACTAACAAAATTGGTCACCACATGAGCCCTAGATAATTTAATATCGAACACAAATTAAAAAAAAAAAAAGAATTAATAAAACTGAATAGGATAACGATGTGGTATATTAATTAATGTTGTAATTAAATAAAAGACTCGATTATCGAATATTCCCACGCATTAATTAATTAAATAAATAAATTGGAGTTCCCATAAAAGCCCTTGAGCTGCAACCCAACCCAAGCCGCAATATCGAGATCGGCTCTTGGCTCGCTGCCCTCTCCATATCTTTTTCCAACCTAATTTCTTTTATTTTTATTTTTTCATAATTAATTATTCCATCGAGAAATGAATCTATTATTAAATTCCCAAGCTTTTATTTATTCTCTAGGTAGGTTTTAATATTAAATGGCATTGGGTTTTTAATGGGAAAAATAAATTTATGAGTCTTCATAATATTAATTTGATGTTCTAAGAGGGATCTTTTAATAAAGCTAATATTTGGTCAAACCGTCTCATTCCAGCTAGCTCTTTGCGTATCTCAAATTATGAAACTTTTGAGCCTAAACATCCCTAACAAAATTAGAATATTTAGTGTTTACCAAACTTTTCGTTTTTTTAATTCAAACGAGATTCCAGACTAATGATAATTTGGGTTTTCTAAACCTAGATTGACTAAGATCGTTATTAAATGCATGCTAGTGTCATTTTAAAACTCGAGAAAAGAAAGATTATTTTTAATAAAATAAACAAAGTTTGCTTAGAGCCCTTTAAAACATTTGGAAACACACGTCATTCTAAACAAAGTCCAAAATACATATTAAATCAAAGGAACCACAAATCAATTTCGCAAACACATAAAGAAACAATGTTTATAAACGGTTGGAAAGAAAATACATATTAGACCGAAGGAACCACAAATCAATTTCGCAACACAAAGAAACAATGTTCATAAACTGTTGGAAAGAAAAATACATATTAAACTGAAGGAACCACAAATCAATTTCGCAGCACACAAAGAAACAATGTTCATAAACTGTTGGAAAGAATTTTTAGAAGCAAAAACGAGTAGACCCGCAATCAACAATTGTCTTACTTTTACCTAAAATAATATTTTGAAAAGTTGAAAGTAAAAATATTTAGTAAGTAACTCACGGCTGAACATCTAGCCTATGGTCGAACATCAAAACTCTAATCATCTAGTCAATGATGAGAAACAAAAACATAAGTTATTTAGCTTGTGACAATGATGGTACAATTAACCTATTTACTTACGAGTAATTACCATAATTTTATTTCATAAATATTTAGTCATTCAATACATGCTAGATGTCACAAACATTTCAAAATAATATTTCATGCATGCATAAACATTAGTAATTATAGAACAAACAACATGCATGCATATCTAATTCTTACTAGAACATCTAGTTGAAAAATCACTTTATCTCAATCCAATTTGGGGTAAACAACAAACTCTACTCCAAACCCTCTTTCAACGAGCAGATACTTAATCAATTCCTAAAAATAACTTAAATCCAATTCCCTTTTAAGGAGCGAATACTTAAGTCAATTTTTAAAAATAACCTAAGGATGAGAAAAATCTTGTCCAAAGTAATTCTACCTTAAAACTGAATGAGCCAAACAAGAGTGATTGAACTTGAACCACATTGAACTAAGTTCTCCTCATGCACAAATACCCATCAATACGACCTTCCCTGGAGTGGGATGCGAATTTTGCAAATTTTTCGAGGACAACAACGACAGACATCCATATCAAGTGGAAAAACGGTAGTGGACGACGACAGTTGTTATAGTGAAGATAATGAGGGTGAAGAGGTTGCAGGTAGGAAATGTAAACCACCAAAAAATCAAGATTGAAAATCAAAAGATCAAATTAAAACCGAGATTAAGAAACTTTCATCCGTTCTGTAAACACAAATTGACGCCAATGACAAGTTTAAGAGATGAGTCGAAATGAAACGCAAGCGTGGCTTCCCTAAAATTTTATATGGCATGGTGCATGAATGTCCAGCGTACATGACTTCCTTATGTCTCGTATGCATTAAGATAACATGTTAACATATTTTAAATGGCATGGCATAGGAAGGTTTATGCATCAATCGTTCAACCAATCCAACAATGAATGCATTTACATAGTTGACCTGAGTCAAAATCACTCATTTATCCTCATGGTAGTTTAAGTCTATCCTTTAGAACACAAGTCAATCTATATGGCCCACGGAGTTGCAACATGTTAGAGCCGCCGAGGAACATGGGAGACGAACGTTGGTCTAGCCGTGGTTGAGCTACGGCTAGCAAACGCGCCACATGTGGGGGAGGCGCGGTTGGATCCTCGGGTCAGTGTGCGGGTGACAGGTCGTTCACTTGCGATAATAGAGCAAGCTACATTCCGCTAGTGGGCCATGCATCTGTTGTAATTGAGCTGAGAGCCTGCGCTAGAAGACATTGGGCACAAGATTAGACCAAGTGTCGTGGGCCACATCTGCGTGGTTCTGGATTATAGATTGCGATGGGCTTGGGCCATGAGGCGAGTTTATGTTGCGCTACTTATTGGGCTACTGGGTTCCGGGTTCAAGGTCAACCCGACCCGATTTTGAATCCGCTGGTTTTTAATATATAGATAAAACATAATATATTGGAATATATTAATTTAAATTATGACTCATATGGTTGAATTTATGGCTGTATGTATGACCACAAAAGCTCAATATATACAATTGTACAGAAAAACTGCCAAGTTAGAGCTTTAAGCACCACCTCCAATATCTTCATAGGACTTGCAGAGACACACAATGCAGTTCGAGAACATGCCCTGTGAATATACGATTATATATCCAACAAGAGTATCCAAAAATAGTGTCATCTAAACAAGACTTACTCGAGTCGATAATAGAACAATATCATTTGTGTTAAATGAACAAACTCTCCACAACGATATGATATTATCTACTTTGAGCATAAGCTCTCGTAGTTTTGGTTTGAGCTTCCCTAAAATACCTCGTACCAATATTGGAGATAGTATTCCTCGATTATAAACCCATGATCATTCCCTAAATGAGTCTTATGTGGGACTTTCATCCAACACCTCCCCTTGATCAAAGTATGCCTCCCCTTAATTAAGGACCAACTCCTTTTGGAGTCTTAGCCATTTTTTACTATGCCTTCGAGGAGCCTCAACTCCTTTTTCTTTTGGAGTTCTTTGTTCAACATTTGAGCATTCAATTGACATGGCTAAATTTAGAGCATGGGTCTGATGTCATGTTAGATGAACACTACTCTACACAACTCTACACAATGGTATGGTATTATCCACTTTGAGTATAAGCTCTCATGGTTTTCCTTTGGGCTCACAAAAAGGCATCATACCAATGGAAAAAATATTCCTTGATTATAAACTCAAGATCATTCCCTAAATTAGGCGAGAGGGGCTATCATCCAACAATTAGAACAAGAAACAATATGCTATGGTTCTGCCTCAACTAGAGTAACAAACAATTCAATAATACAGCTACACATATACAACTCGAATCTCAGTCAATCAAATTAATCAAACAAGTGAATCTAATGAAGCTAGAGGTATAATCATTTGAGGAAGAATCCAGTGAAGTAAAGCAGAGAAGAACATTACCAGAGGTAAAAAAATCAGATCTAAGGCACGATGCTCATATTCTATGGGTGTAAAGTGTCTGTCATGCCATGGCATTAGCATTCAGAACATAAAAATTTTATAATCATCGCAACCAAGCCTTATCATACGCATCGAAGAACAGATTGAATCTAATGAAGCTAGAGGTATAATCATTTAAGGAAGATTCCAGTAACGTAAAGCAGAGAAGAACAGAACCAAAGAGTATTAAAAAAAAAAAAACTGAAGGCACGATGCTCATATTCTATGGGTGTAAAGTGTCTGTCATGCCATGGCATTAGCATTCAGAACATAAAAATTTTATAATCATCGCAACCAAGCCTTATCATACGCGTCGAAGAACAGATTGAATAACTTCATCGAAAGAATCATCCAATAAAAATGCTTTCACCAACTCGAAGACTTCAACAAAAAGATATCAAGATTCTAGAAAGATATACGAACACAGAAACAATTAGATCTATACTATCTGAGAAATTATATCACAGCATCCGTTTCTAAATGGTAAGAATCGGGAGGAAAGAGCCTATTAGATCTCCAATGTGCGAAACAAAAAAATAGAGAAAGCACGGAGAGAAAAGGTTGAACAAACCTAGCGTAGGGCAGGGGAAGGAACGGCAATGCACTCGTTTTGTGCCAATGGCGCGATTTATAGAGAACAATAAACCCTAGTTATTCAAAGATACTGTTTCAAAACCCTAGCCGCACCTAATAGGGCTTTTTGACGATATCTACACGTCCAACATGACAGGCTGATATGGTTGGGCTTTTTTAAACCGTAAATGCCGTTTGGAAAAACAATTATAGAAGATTTTTTTTAAAAAAAAATTAAATATATTTTTTACTTTTATATTTAATATATTAATATTAATTTGAAATAATACACATATAATTTAAAACAGAGAATTAAACCCATGGTATTCTATTAAATTAATCAACGTGGAACTCACTCTTTCCTTAATTGAGGCTCGACTCCTTTCTCTAAAGCCCTTGAACAAAGTACACCGTTGGTACGACACTTTAGTCCCTTTTGACTACTCCTCCGAGGCTCACAATTCGATATTTGAGAATTTTATTGACATGGCTAAGTTTATGGCATGATTCTAATACCATGTTAGACAACCACGACTCTCTACAAGTATGATATTGTCCACTTTGAGCATAAGCTCTCATGTATTTATTTTGGGGAGATAATATTCCTCACTTATAAACCCATCATCTTCCACTAAATTAACCAATGTGAAACTCACTCGCACCCATCCTCAACAAAGAGGTGATATTGAATGAGGATAATGTTAGATGAATACGACTCTCCACAATGGTGTGATACTGTCCACGTTGAGCATAAGCTCTCGTGGTTTTATTTTGGACTTCTCCAAAGGACCTCATGCCAATACATATATTCTTTAATTATAAACCCATGATCATTATTTAAATTAGCTCTAAATTAGCCCAACAATTTCATTCGACAGAACAGACCAGGACTATTACTGATGAACCTTCGCCCAACCATTTTAATATAATATAAACCATTTTAACATAATTTCTGTATATTAAATCTTGTTCCCCGCAAATCAACAGGTTGACATGCAAGGGGATCATTCTGAGAAATCAATGCTACATACATGATCACCTACACACAATACAACAGGCAAAAAAACGTGCATGAGTTCAATTAATTAAATCAATGCCCAATTTTCAACCCCCAAGAGATTTGGGAACAGGTACAGCAACGGCCGGATTCTGGGTCTTCAGTTCCTCAGTTTTGGACCTTACCTCGCTGCTGAATGACATGAATGATCTGTGTCTAGAGGCAAATGCAGCACTGAATCGCTTAATCCCTTCTTCTAGATCTTTTCGTCTCGTGATTTCAGTGATCAGTTCCTTCAGTACGGTTTCTTTCTGCTCCTTCTCCACCTTCAGTTTCTGAACAGATTCAGAGACCATTTTACGCAAAGACTCTCTTTCATCTTGCACAACCTTGAAGTCTCTTTCTAAGTTGTTATATTGTTGCTTCGATGACTCCAAGAGTTGGTTGTTGGATGCTAGCTCATTCTCTTGGCCATGGCATCTTTTCCTGATATCATCAAGTTCGGTACTCAACCTTTCCTTCCATAAGTCGTCCTCAGCACATCCCTTTGTCACAAAATGTTCATAGTTACAAATAAGTACGATTCGCTCTGAATCATTCAAATGCCTTAAAAGAGATACCATTTGTAGTCAATGCTTACCTTGCACTGATGAGTGCTCGAGGGATCCATCGTTTGCTTACAACCAACAACAATGGATGTTTCTGATAACACAAGAGATTCTATTATGCTATTCACCCTCGAACGAAGTATATCGTGAAGGTCTTGATTAAGTGAATCATTCACTGGGAAACCACTCTGTCCATTCATGGCTGTAGTTAAATGAGCTTCCAGAGTAGTAAAAAGGCATGTTCCAATTTCGCCGGTGCTTAATAGCAATTTTACAGTTGATGATTTCTCGTCATGTGTGGTATTCTAGTAATAGAAGGATACAATAAGAATTGGTGTCACCTAACTGATTCTCTTAAAAACTGCTAAGGGATGTGAAGATGTGTAAACATAAGAATCAAATTGTACCTTAAGGGAAGATAGGATGTCCATGTAAACATCTTTACAAATCGCCAAAGAATTGAACATCTTTTGCGGAAGTTCCTTGATTACTTGTGCTTCTTGTTGAAGCTCTGATATCTCTGCCATTAGTTTATCGTTTACAAGAACTTGCTTCTCATGCTTTTCCTGCATTTATCAACAATCGTGCAGAAAGGTTAATGGATGAACGAGCATGAGGACCAATAAAAAGTAAATAAGCAATTTGGGTCAGGCTTAGCTCCAATGTGAGCCCCTTCCCTTTAATAAATGGCACAAGTAATTGAGTTGGAATGTCTCACAAAAAGTATTGCCCGAGTAAACTCACATCATCATGGTATATTTTTATATTAAGAAGGGGATAGAATGCGTATGAATTTATTCAAACCTCATTTAATCAACAATGACAGAAAGAAAGACAAGTTAAAATCAACCTGAAGTTTATTTTTCTCCATGATGGCATGCTCCAGTTGTCTCTCGAGATTTTGAAGCTCTTGTTTATGGTTCTCATTGGAGAGACCCTGACCCTGAAATTCAACTAAAATTGCATCACATCTACAATCATTAAAACCAGATAAGTGAACACATATAATTTAGATATTAGCATGTCATAAAAAGTAGTAACACCTAAATTTGAGTTCATCATTTTTTATGCAAGGAAGACAAATTTAATGAAAAAAAAAAAAAAAGAACAAAAAGATTAGAACCTTTCATAACTATAGACTAACAGAGGTAAAGACTCGACATAATGACGTATAGGAGACCTCATTACACGGAAAAGCACTCACAGGAGTTAGATCATTAAATGGAAACGATTGCACTTTTATCGTAGGAGTCGTTTGAAGTGAATCAAGATCAGCTACAAAGCCTTTATTCAATTTCAACCAAGTATCCTCATCGGCAACGTTGCTAAAAGTATCCGGAAGAGGGCTACACTCAGGAGGCATGGAATAATTAGATCGCCTGGCAACAAAGGCATTAGGAGCTGCCTTGAAAAAGGGTGTTACAAATCCATCTTCAAGGCTTTTATTACAACTGCCACTGAAATCTTCCTTGAGAGTATTTTTCATAGAACCTTGTTCCTGCAAAAACAATACAAAAGATTGTTGCAACGAAGTTTAGAATTGGCGTTCAAAAAGAAAATCTGACAGCGGTATTACAGCCAAGAGCATGCAAGCTAATCCTATAAAGGCAACACCAAGCAACAATAACGGCATTCCACAGTCACACTTGTCAACGTCAAAATATTAGAGGATATAGCGTTAGTTTCATACTCGACTTTGGCTGGAGTTTTGTGCAGACTCCGAAAGATTGACAAGACTATTGAGACTTTCTATTTTCATCTGTTGCTCCCTGATACGTTGATCACGTTCTTTGTGTGAATTCCTCTCCTCTTCAAGTTCCATTTGCAAGTTTTCACGTTCAAGTTCATACTGGATTATTTGAAATCAGCATTAGTATTACATATTGCAGATCCTAGAACGTACAATTATCAGTACATGCTCTGAACACTGAGATCTACTAAGAATAAACAAAAAAGGAAAAGAAAAGAAAACCTACCTTCAACAAATCGTTCCTCAACTTCAAAACCTCCTGCTCAAGTACTTCCGCATGTGATCCCTACACAAGAATTAATTGTCAACTACTTGAAGTCCTTTTCTCAAATGAGACAAATATGAGGGCACCTGAAGTTTTTTACGCAGTTCCTCTATCTCTTGATTCTGACGCTTCAATAAAGCTGCATCCGTCAAAATCTGGGGCAATTATAAGGAGAATTAGCTTAGGCAAAGAATATGTAACATAGAAAAATAATTGCATTTGGTAAAAGATTAGTGACGCCAAATTTTGACAGATGATAAAACTAAACACATGGTATCGAAAAAGTTGGGCAGAAACCCCAAAGAATATAATTTTAACAAAGACAGAGTAATCATATAGCTTAAGTTCTAACCAAACAAAGCCAGAACTTCAAAATTGTCGGACTCTGAAATACAAACAGAAATAAGAACATGCACTATAGTTTCTGCTTCGTGATGATGATAATAAAGAAAACTAGTATAGTGCAAGATACGAAGAAAATAAGAGTAAGAACAACCTCATTCACTTGAACACAATTGGTGATGCGCTTTGCTCTGCTAGCAAACTGGAGAGTTCCTTTTGTTTCTTCTATATGTACCTAATGCGCATATCCAAATTAAAGGCAAAGAGGATAAGTTTAAGCAGATTTGAATCTTTACTGACTGTGCAATGGTATGTTGGGTACACGTGTGTTTGTGTACGTTTGAGATTATGCACACCATTATGCACTAAACTAGAAAACTGAAACAACAATTCATTGGATACCTCTTCTGGAGCTATAGTGCATATTATTGAAGTTTTAGCATTACCACCCAGGGCTGGTTGGAGTATGCGCGTCAGCTTACTGTCTCGGTAGGGAATGTGTCCCCTGTACAGGCAGAGTAAAACATTAATCACTTGTTCTTCCATGAAAGAAAGGAGTTTCCAGGAGAAGAAATTACCTCTGCCTAACCCCCTCGCTTAGCTTATTGATAACGTTCCCAAGAATCATTAAACTCTTATTAATATGCTTGCCTTCTTTCAAACGTGTTCCTTCAGCTCCAGTTTTAGCAATTCGCTCAGACCCAGCTAAGTCTACCAAATTCTATTTCCGATAATACAAGTGAAAAAAAAGGCGTAAATGAAGGAAACAGAAACAATCGGAAAAAATATGAATTATTATCTTTGACTAGATTATAAGTTTTATGCCGCAGGCTGGAAATGTACGAACCAATACAGAGACACGTATGGAATCAGCACTCGAAGTCTCAGCGGTGTCCTTCCCCTTGCTTTCAATTACCTGCACAAGATGAACTCGTATGTAAAAGGGTATTGGTAAAAGGAGCTCCCCGTCCAAAGTCCTAACATAAAAATACCATTCTGAATATTGTGTGCGACCTACTACTCCTGGCATTCATATTTGTTTCACCAAAGTGTTTATTTACTGCAGGAAAAAATTTACAGATATTTCTTAGTGTTTCAATTTTCAGAAATGAAATTTAACCAATGTCCCAGTTCATTTTTCTTCCATACCTTCACCCTGCTCGATGAGCTTTAAAACTTGATCAGCATTATTGACGATTTCCTCCTTGAGACCTGCAACAAATATTCCACGCTAAAGAGAGAGCCATGTCAGTCCTGTTTTTAGATGCCACAGAAAAGAATGAGAAGATAATAGGGAGTGAATAGCAACCTCCAGGCTCTCATGAATTGGCAACTTATTGTTCTCGACTGCTAATAGATCATTAATTTCTTCGTTATAAATTTCCATGTAGGAAACTCGAATCAGAAATTCTCGATCTGACATCTGATAACACAGCAAAATGGTGAGTTACAAGATTTATCTTGCAACTGTAAGCATTTCATATTGACTTCAAGATCCAAAACAAGAATTACCGTGTGAATTTTTTCAAACACGTCTTTCACTGATCTGTGAATAACTCCTGCATCACTTTCAGAACCATTCATGGTGAACGTTTTACCACTACTGGTCTGTCCATAAGCGAAAGCGGTTCCTGCAATGTCTCAACTATGAGTTCCGTCGTCAAGATATAAACGCAAACGCATACAAACCGACCACGATCATCATAGAAATTATGATAAGTACTACGATCAAACAAAGATACATTCCAAATGGTTCGATATAACAACCTTCCTCCTAAAGAGGACAACATCCTCAATCACCTTTTAGCATATGGAACGATGAAGGAAGAAAGAGAGAAGCATACCATTAAAACCTTCAACAGCAGCATGAATAATATCCTTAACAACAAGTTCGTAAACACTACCGTTGGTACAGCTTTCGTCCAACACATGATCTAGAGTCCAAAACAGAAGTTCCACAGCGTTAGACAGCATCAAATATAAGAAGATATGAGCTATTACAAGAGGAAACTTATGCAACTTGACGAAAAAATGAGCTGAAGATACGTGAGCAATCTAGAAGAGAAGTGGATTTTGAAAGTACCAAAAGCGAAGGAATTGCCGGAGATTGGCGTATCGTGAGCTCTGTGAAGCGAAATTCGATTGTCGTCAATCTTCCAGTACGTTCCACGGATTGAATCTTGAGATACAGATGGCCTCAAACGAACAGCAACGCAGATTTTCTCCATATTGAGCTCTCTCTCTCGCACTGAACTTTCTCCTTCTCGGATCTAGGGCTGATGAATTCTATCACAAAGTGAACTGGTCCGGGCGGGATCTGTGTTTCAAACGGTTCTCCAATTTGAAAATGTGTTGTTTACTGAAATACCCTCTTCGCTACAGTATATTACGTTCCATACCCTCGTTTTTCTTTCTTTCCCTTAAAACTGGATCAAATATTTTGTTTGGGCCAAATGTAGGCCCAACTTTTAAGTTTCCGTAAAAAAAAAAAAAAAAAAAACTTATATACAAGCTTAACACTAAAGCTGTGAAGTGCTATTTTATAGGCTATGGTTCTGACATGTTTGGGTAATATTTTGGGATAATAAGAACAAAAGAATCTTGAAACATTGTGACGTGACTTTTGATAAAAATGTTTTGTACAAACACAAAGAGAAGAAAGGTTCTGAGACAACGAAGCAAATTGGAGTTAAAAGTTCAGTAACTGAAAAATTCACCTAAAGATGCTGTAGCAAATACTCAAGAAATTCCTAAGACGGTTGATGATAAATTAGAGTGGAGCAAGTGTTGAGAAAATCATCCAAAACCATCAGAGTAGGTATTCATCTCTATTACACTATTTGTTGTGGACTGATGAAAGGGGATCAGATTCTTTTGATGTGGAGGATACAACTAAGTGAGAGCAAGGCAGGGATAATACAATAAATTAGATGTCTGGGCTTTAGAATTATATTACTCTTTCGTCTACTAAAACTGAGTACGTGGCAATGGTTGATACTACAAAGGAGATGATATGTATAACAACCTGTCTAGAAGCATACAAATTGTTTGCCCTCCCATTAAATTAAGCTTTAATTAAAATTAAAAGAAAAAAAAAAAGGAAAAAAAGGCAACCAATGAGGAAATGATACGTAGATAATTAGATTACATGACATGGCATGAACTGTGAGGCTGAGATCCTTCCGTCAGCGACGCACACGTGGCTGACCTATTCCCACCCTCCTTTTTATCTCCCATCCCTTTTTGGCTTTTTGATTAGCTGTTCAAGTCCTTCAATCTGGACCGTCCACGTGTGCACCCCGAGGAAAAAGAGTCGGCAGCCCCCTCCCCTCTTTGAATTAATGGAGATTACTTTCCCGTAACTTCTTTTCTTAACTTAACTTAACTTTAATTAATTAAATTAGCTTTTTCTTTTTCCTGGTGTGATTGATCAATTATAAAAAGCTACCACTCATATATATATATATATATATATATATATATATATATATATATATATATATATATATATATATATT